GGCATAAGGAGGTGGCGGGACTGGTTTCCGTAACGACCAGGTACGCCTGGGGATGTTGAACACCCACATCTCATCTGTCACATTAGCAGGACCTGCTTCCAACTTCCCGCCAAACATGTAGATGTCATCCTACACAAGGGAAACACGAGGCAGATTTCGTATTAGAGTGATGTGATGTTTGTGGAAGTGTTATGAAGTGTTGCCTGAGCTCTAATATCTAATCACATTTGAGCAGTCTGCAGACCTTCTGATGGGCCCCCTGGTTGTCTGATAGTAATAAGACTTCAGAGTTCTTACCACCCCCATCATCATTAATGAGAAATGTCTTCTGCAGCAAAAGACAGCACTGCCTTCAACAAAGACAAAACATCCAGACATTGATTCAATCAATATGTTTTTAATATTATTACTGATCTTTGACCACTTTGTGGGGATTGCAGTAAACTAGTGACCTGAATAAAACATCATTGCTATCATAGATCATCTTGCTTCAACTTTTTGCTGCGTGATCTTCAGGGATGCACCTCGATCATCCATAACATCGTGACCAATTGCCTAATACTGTGTTGGTCCCCCTTTTAGCTGCCAAAACTGCCCTGACCCATCAAGGCATGGACTCCACTAAACCCCTGCAGGTATCCTGTGGTATCTGGCGCGAAGATGTTAGCAACAGATCCTTAAATTGTGGAAGTTGCAAAGTGGGACCTCTTTGGATTGGACTTGTTCGTCCAGCACGTTCGACTCATCTGTTGGATCAGACAACGCAGGCCAGTCTTCAGTCTTGGCTGCCCATCACCCCGTCTCTGGTTCACCACTGCTCTTTCCTTGGACCACTTTTGATTCATACTGAACACCGAGAAAATCTCACAAGAGCTGCAGTTTTGGAGTTGCTTCCACCCAGTCGTCTTTCATGACATTTTGGCCCTTTCCAAAACCATTAAAATCTTTATGCTTGCCCAATCTTCCTGCTCCCACTCACTAACAGGCGCCACGATGAAGACGTAATCAGTGTTATAAACTTTACCTGCCAGTGCCCATAATGTTATGCCTGATTAGTGTACATGTTACACCCTGACAGTATCACTACAAGCCCAAATAAGGACCCCAAAAGCCTGCTGTATACTTCTGGTGCCATAAAACAGAAAACACCACAGCTCCTTTAAAGATCCGAGTTTACTTAGTGGCATAAGGAGGAACTTGATAACATTAGGCAGGTGGTTCTAATATGGCGTCTGTTAGCATCAGCTAATAAAATCACTTGTCTTTGCAGGTGCTGCTGCAGGAGCACTTAGCTGCTGTGAACCTTTCAAGAACAGCTATTTATGCATTTTATACTGACAAACACCTTTGGCACAGTAAATATTTAGTCAGTAACTGTAAATATGAATATATTAATCATAATAGCTGTAAATGAAGAAAAAAAAACTGTGTTTGCTGTTCTTTTTTGCAGCCTTACACCTTGTCATGCACCCATCAGCCATCGTGTGATTCCCATCTGCCAAACATAATCACCTAAAATAGTGAGTAACCAAAAATACCAGTGTGAAACTAAAGGGTGAGAGGTGAAGACATGAGTGTCTCATGAAAAAAAACAAAAGCACGTCTGCTTTGTCCTCAAGTCAAAGACGTTTCAAAAGAAACTCTGCCGATGGAGCAAAGTGATTCCTTTCATCCACCTTCACAGTAACAGGGTGGGTTTGAAGTTAAAGCTGTGTGTATAGTAAACAAGCCAGGAGTTACTGCAGGCTACAAATCATCAGCAGGCTTCAGTCAGTCGCTCTGACCTCCTCTGGATCAAATCTCACCTTCAGCACAGCAGGACGAGATGTTTGTCTTCATTCTGCCTCCTGTCCTCCACCATTAAACCATTCCTTCCACGCTAAAAAAAAAAAAGTAAGCGCCCCAGTATTTGGACAGCGACACATCATTTGATGCTCCTGGCTTTGGCGTGATTGATCTATAGCAGACACATGAATGATTCTGATGTTCTCATTTCTTTATAGGTAAGCTGAAATATGGGCCAGTCTCCTAGAAACGCCTCAGTCTTGTGAAATGACCCCATATAACTTCAGAGAGCAAGAGCTGTTTCTAGACATGGACTGCAACACATACACTTCTAATCAGTTTGTTGTCTGGGCTTCCCCCCCCATAAATGATATATACACAATGTCAAAGCAGACTTATTTAATATTTATCAAAATGAAGAAAGAAGCACGCATTCAAGGCAGTCAGTTAATTCTTTAATTTGAACATCTGTACTGAGGAAGTCTATTAATTGACAGCACCACTCCATTCCAACAATAGTCAAATATAATGATTCAACACTGTCTGGTAAGCACATGAGGAAGGCAGCATATGAAGCTAAGAATCCAGAATAAATGCTAAAACCTTCTGATTGTAGTCCACATTTTCACTGCTGTGGAGTAGTATGGAGTAGTACCTGTTTCTTGTTTTTAGCACTGGTGAAATATAAAACTTAAGCAGGATTACCTGATGCAGAGCCAGTGAGTGTCCGTATCTGTAGAGAGGGCCGCTGCTGACAGGCACCACATCCCACGTGCTGGTCTCTAGGTTGTAGCTTTAAACAAAGGGAAAGAGTAGGAAAAGTGCAAAAGCTCAGAGACAATCACAGTCGACTAAGTCAGATGGATGTGTCTTACTTGAGGACCATTTGGTAGTTGGAGTAGTTGAAGGAGTAACCTCCCACCACCCACATCAACCCAGAATGCACCAGAGCCCGGTGGGACGCTCGACCCAGAGACTGAGCAGATGGTTTAATGCTGGGCAGCACCCAGAAAGCCTCAGTGGAGGGAACGGAAAGGGAGCAGTCTGGACCTGATGGAGGCAAAAGGACATGTTTCAATTTTTGGAATTCGTACATACATTGTTTCCAGTATTTATTTTACAGGTAGTAAAGGGCAAATGAATTCAATTTTCTCAAAATATCAATCTATAAATCCTATTGTGCTTATCCAGTTCAGGGTCATGGGGGAACTGTAGCCTATGAACACCCTTAACATGTTGCCAGTCTATTTATTTATTTATTTATTTTTACTTTGGTGCCACCTAGTGGCTGTTCTATGAATAGGCACCAAACACAACTCGAGCTCATTTATGAGCAGATGATGAGCAACCTCATATCTTTAAAAAAAAAGAAAAAAGAAAAACAAGACCACTTCTACAATACATTTTATTAAAATATACATTTTCGTTATTCACTGCATCTGTCCATTGTTTTCTAAAGCTTATACTTTTCCCTCAGACCTTTACCTTTTTCTTGCTCTTCCTTCTACCCATCGTCACCGTTTTGCCTTCTTTAGTTTCACTAATTGATCTGATCGTGTTTTCTTCAGTGAACAGTTTTGCTTCTACTCATTTATATAATGCAAAAAAAAAAACCTTTATTTTAAATGATTTTATTCTTTTTTTTTACTTATTATTTTGTAAAGCACATTAAAATATTTTAACTCAAAGTGAGAAAACTGACAGACCACAAAGCAGAGCTTATTCAGATGGCAGTCGAGAATAAAAGCACATCTTTACAGATTAAATGAGGGTTTTCTAACATTGCAGGCGAGTGATTAAAGCAAGACGTGAGAAAACGAGATAAATGAAAAGCACTGGATCACAGACGTATTCAGCACTTTTCTTTCTGCGGGGGGTAGAGGGAAGAGGGGAATGAAGGACAAATTGTAGAAAATGCTCTTTCCATTAATGCAAAAAAACTTCTTTTTTTTTTGGTGATGCCAACTGGTGGTTTCCATGGTGACCAATACCTTTATTAAAAGCCCGTTTGTGTTTCTGATGCCTGCTCCGAGGCTCTGTATCTGCCTCCACCTCACTCATTACCAGACAGATACACATACATCCCTTTGCCTCACTGGTGTCTCTGTTGCTTTTGTGTGAACAATTTGTGATCTGTAGAAATAAGAGGCTGAATCCCAAAGCTCAGAATCTGACTCATTCACTGTCATATAGATGGATAGCACAGTCCATCTGAATTGTTTTCAAGTGACTTAGTTAGGTTCAGAGATGATACCTTTGTGGCTGTCAAAACACCAAAAAAAAAAAAAATATGTTAACCGATATCTCTTTGTGCAAATTATGACTTCATTACTCAAAAAGTAAATAAATAAACCAACAAGCATTGTTGTGAGCAGGTTGGATTTTTTTACACACACACACACACACACACCTTTGATTTTAGGATTAGTCTTATGTCTTTGTGTCTAAACAACTTAAAGCAAATACTGAAATAGACAGCATATTTGCTGAATTTTACACTCACATACATATCCCTAAAACTGAAGTGTTAAATATTAAATGATTTTAATATTTTTTCCTATTGTTGTACTTAAACTGGGTCTTTATTTAACGAGTCAGAGTATGCAATCATTGCCATTTAGCAATATGTTCCTACTGTAGCACCTCTCATATTAATCCGTTTAGTTATAACACATAATCAGTTCATCAATTTGGTGTCTTGTTTCTGAAAAACTAAAATGTAACTGACATACACAACACTGGATAAATACTGCTTAGCCTGCTGTTCATCACTGTACTGTACAATTTGGGATATTTGCCTTTTTTTATTTATTTTTTTTGCTTTTGAAATGCATCCATTTTTAATCTTCATTCTTGGAGATTTTTATTGTATTGTTTTTAACAACATTTTATGGGAAAAAGTTGGTTTTCCTTTCTCCTTGTGCTATCATTATCCTTCCAGGAGGGGGCAGCACTTCACCATCCAACTTCAACAGACTTTGTTGTCTGCTGAATTGTTCTTCTTATGTATTCTCTTAATATGTTTGTTAGACATTTAGGATCAAACTGGATCTGAATCTCGAATGAACATGCAGTTGGTCAGATTTTCGTGATTATCCATGTTTTAACTACAAAAACTGAACTGAAACACGTAGATTTATGTGTTTCAGTTCAGTTTTTGTAACCGGTGCTTTAGAAGATGTAAATACTGGCTGAAGAATGTGACTTAACACTTACTTTCATTTCATGCGAAAGCCTTTTACAAATGATGAAACCTCTGCGAACAGCACCAAGAAAAGCCGCTTTTCTTATAAAAAGAAATTAGTCTAAAATCACTCTCAGTCAGAAAACGTCATTTGAAATAAAGTTGTTGATTTTGAAGCCGCAAGAGGGATTTGTTTATGACTGCAATATAAAAAAAAAATAATAATAAAAAAAATGAAGCTAGATATATATTGTGCCACTAGGGAACATTTCCCTGGGAATCCCGTATAATATTTTATGATATTAAAGAATACTGATTCAGGCAGCATTGTGTTAGGCATAAACCAAGAGGACACTGGGATTGTGCTTTCAATTGCTTTTCATATTAATATTGAAAACTGCAAAACCGAAAGGAAAGCATAAGCAAAAAACTCACACTGAGCTCATTTGTTCATTTGATGACTAAAAAAAGCATCATGAACCTGGACTAAATTAACCGTTTTAAATGTGTTTGCATGACTAGAATCCAATAAGAAGCATCTCTAAAAACATGGTGTCATATCTCAGAGTCATTTTTGCCCCATTTTAGACTACAGTTGTAGACATCAGTGTACAAAATACTTACTGGATCAGTGGTTACTGTGTTTGTGAACACTTCATGAATTAATAAATAAGGTCCTGAAAGTTCAGATACAGCACTTTAAACTATCCCTAGCCTTTTCCTCTCTGTTATCATCTCGCCTGCACTCCACTCCTGTCTTCACTGCAGGAAGCCCATTACAGTAGCACCAAGCTAAAGTGCCCGTTTTGCCATCCTGGCTGCACCACATGAAGCCAAGTTTCCCCCAATAAAATCCTCATTTACTATGTATCACTAAACTAAGTTTTAAATTCCCCAATAAAATTCAGCCTTCCGTTTTCTTACCTTGCCAGCTGTCGTTGCAGACACACAGCTTCTCCCCGGTCAGGTCACAGTAGCCGTGATCTGGGCTGCCACAGTTGTCTCTGCAGTAAGGGATGTCGCATGCGTCCCCCTTCCAGTACTCCTCGCACTCACAGTACACACGTCCTGCGACCGAGTTCGCAGTGCTGCATCTGCCGTGGCCCGAACAGTTGTTGGGGCAAGAGTTTATCCTGCGGGAGACACAGTTAGCCAGAAAGTCAAACAACATCTTCAGGGTTATGGAGAGCCATGAGCAAAAGAGAATACTTGACTGTGACGGGCCAGATATTATTTTTAGATGAGTATGTGGCCTTGAGATATTGTGCATGCCTCATGAAATATTAACTGAGGCGACTGCAGTCATCTACTTATATACTTATAGTAAAATTTACTGATAGCCAAAGTTGCTATTTTTTACCTTTACATATTAGATGTGTGTATTATTTGCTTTAGAGTGGATTCATGTTCAATATCTGCTGGAACGCCTGTTCAGCAGATATGCCCAACACCATCAAAACTGTCACTAACTTCAGTGAATATTTCACCAACATTGCTATCTAAAAGTCTTCCAATTTCCTCGTTATCAACCCCGGTAAAAATTGAGGTTCTCGTCTCATTAAAGAGGCAAGACAATCAAATCTTCTTAATTCTTTTATCAGGAGTCTTGCTGTCATTTTTGATCAGTTCTTTGAATTTCTCATTTTAAGCTAATCCAGTTTTGCTTCTTCCAGCTAAAAATAAATAAATAAACTTGACAAAACTCAAGACTATCAGCCAACAACGTTTGTGCTACTACTACTCAATCGTCTTACCTCTCCTTCAACATAACAAAAACTAGCTGATGACCACACATGAACAGAAAAGAAAAATGCATCCCTAGGATATATTATTCTCTTACTTCTCTCCTCTCAAGGCTTTTGTATACAAACATCTTGTATCATTTTTAAATAACCACAAAGTACATCAACTATTTCTTACTGTTAAATAAAATGTAGCAAAGAATGTTCACTCAGTCTAGCTGCGTGAAACTGAAACATCATATGAACATCAGATTTGTTGGGAAGACAACAAAAGATAAATAATCCAAATACATACAAAAAAAAACCCAAACAACTTGGCATTGAAATACAGGAAATTTACACAAGGAACTCAGGAGAAACAACACACAATCCAAAAAGACAAAAAGGGCTGATTGGGGAAGTGGAGACAGGTGGGAAATGGGAAAGGGGCACAGCTGAACATAATCAAGACAATCAGACTGGAAATAAAACCCAAGACACAAGAGGGACTGGGGGGGATACACAAAAGGTGAGACAGGAATAGGAGCGACTGAGTGAATTACAGCAAAGTCAGAATAGAAAGTGACACTAAAGACGTCTTAAATCTATAAGACTTGAAGAGTAAACTAAGCATGCAAAAAATGATAATGAAATGAAATGAGGAATCAGAACTCAACCTAACAATAACAGTGACAACAAATGCAATACTATGTATTGAAAAAGAAGAAGAACCTTAAAAATACAAAGCAAAGCCAGAGACCACGAAGGCATCACTGTGTAGATTTGGACTTCTTGTTTTTGATGCCATCTGAGTCTGCTTACATTAAAGTTTGAATCCACTTACTGTAAGTGGCTTTGGATAAAAGCCACCAAATCTAACTGAATGTTATGCAAAAATAAACAATGTGACACACAATAGAGATGGAGCTAAACTACCTCTGATTTTAAACAAGATAAATTATAGACACAGCGAGGAAAACGCAAAGAAAAAGACAGACGTGACTGAAAATGGGAAACGGAGGTGGAACAAAGAAATTGCACATAAAAATCAAAACGGAACAAAAAGCACTGAGACCGACATTACAAGGCGTTTCTATGGAATATCAGATAAGTTCGAGATGAAAGAGATAGGAAAATTGGGGGGAAAGATGTGAAGGACCAGAGGCGGAGAATCATGTTTTTGTTAATGCAAAAAGCTGGTTTGCTACCGTAACAAGGGTGTTGTCATGACAACCTTCATCTCCTCTCCGTGGGCATGTGTGTGCGTCTGTATGTGTATGTGTGTGCTAAGAAGAACCTGTGTAAATGCACGTATTCCTCCCAAGCAGGTGTCCAGCTTGGGAGGAGTTACATTGCATTCACTTTTCAGTAATGACCATCACTAATTGCACAAAGTGGGTTGGTTTAACGTTAGGGGTGATAGAAATCTACATGAACAGTGTGAATGGTCCTGTACGACTGAGCTTTTAGCAGAGCCAGGAAACAAAAACCAGCAATGTTACAGCGGCTCCCAAACACCGTTCCCAGTTGGCATGGCGAGGCAGACTGGCTGGCCTTCAGTCCGAGTAAATGGTAAATGTATATAGCACTCTTTCTACTCTACTGGAGCACTCAAAGCACTTTATACAAGATGTCCCATTCAGCCATTCACACAAGCACTTTTTTCCACATCTAAGTGCTTTCTATCTAACATTCACACCCCAATGAATGCATCAGGAGCATCTTGGGGTTCAGAATCTTGGATATCCAAGGATCCCTCCCTGACCACCAACCTTCCAATTAGTAGATGACCTGCTCTACCTCCCTAAGCCATAACCATCCCACACTTGAGATTTTGTGTGAACCACAAAAGTGATGAATAACATTAAGTTTATTATTACATATCAAAGGCCCTGCCTGACAGTGATGAGCATTTGTGAGAAGATAGGTGTACACAAAACCAGCTAAAGGAAAAAAAGAAAAGAAACAACTGCAAAAGCAACTTCCTTTATGACTTCATCAGACTGGGAACTTCAACGGCTTTCAGCCCATAGGTAACGTGCCAAAGCTAAAGAGGTGTCTGGAAGCATATATAGAAAAAAAAGACATGGGATTTGCACCATAGGCAGCAAGAACATTTTGTGGATTGTGTCAAAGTTTCTGATAGGAGGATGGATGTAAGTTAGCATTGTTGTCAATTCAGATGACACAGCTGTGATTATAGATTATAATTTTGCCTTGCTTGACTATTATCATTACTCACCAGGTGGTGCCACATAATGGTGTCTTCACGATCTGTGCTAGCTGAAAGTATTTCAGCTTTGTTTCTTTCTTCTTCTTTTTTTCCCAATCACGTGAGTTTCTCCCAGTGACCTTGGATTCTTTTGTCCCCACCGGCAACAGACACCCAGAAATGGAGACCGGCTCACTGTTGCCATTTGTAATTCAACTGTGGTTTTATAGAGAGCAACATTGGAGAGCATTATGAGGCTTCCTGGTAAGTTTTCTTTAAATGTCATGTGTCCTGCTTATGCAATGTCTCTGAACACACTATTAGTGTAGCTAATAGTGCATGTGGTTTACCAAATCCAAGAAGCTAGGTGGTGTGAAAAATCTGGATTTTTTTCCCCCCTTCTTCTTGTGTTGTTTTCCTGGGAGAGTATCCACACACAGCTGCCAGTTATTTGTCTTTCCAAGTTTTCTCTCTACATAACCAGGTTCACATGAGTGGGCGTCATCCCAATCAGTGATCACGGTTGTTAAATCAGCCACCAACACACAAAAATTTGTGATCGTCTCTCTCTGTCGCCCCAGGGAACAAATGCCACTACAAGCTGAAGTCAAAGTCTGGCAGCAGATGATAATGAGAAGCTGCAAAAACTCTTATAAAGCCTTTGCTTAATTTTGGAATATACAGATTACATTTTTTACCTTGTTAAGTTCTCATTAATGCAAAAATGTCCCCGTCATGGGATCAGTAAAGTCTTATCTTATCTTATCAAAATATTAATAATATGAGCCTGTTGCGCACTTTCTGTCTGTATTGAACTTTTCGTGTCACTTTGACTTGTCTTAATGGGAAAATCCTGGGTGAGACTAATTTCATTGCCCTACAAGTGACAAATGAAATCACACAGACAATAGAAGCACACCTAAATATAGCACAGCCATAGCATTTGGTAAAAATAATCACTTAGTAAGCTGTCGATGTAACTGCTTGATATTGCAAATCAATTAGCTGATGATGCATTTGATCTGCTGCCACAAATAAGCACACATTAACAAGCTGATGCTATCAGGATTTGGTATTTGGCTGACATTTCAGTACAAATTTCAGTATAAATACAAATATAAGATGTGTTCTCTTTTGTTTATATCGGAGAGAACAGACTGATCATGAACTGGAACAATTACATTTCTTTGGCCACTTTTGTCCTCCACAACAAGCTGGTAATCTGTCAACTAGTGGACACATTGATGGGGGTGGGTGGGGTCAGAAAAACAGAGGATGGGAAAAACAAACAGGTGAAGACAAGAAAATGAGTGACGGTAAGAACAATATTGAGGCTTACGAGTAGGCGATGCTGAAACCAGTCAAGTTGTAGGCAGCGTCACTAAAGAAGTGAAGCAGAGCGTAGCCGGACGTTGTCACAACCTCAGGAACTGTCTCATTACCTCTGGTCTCTGGCACCACTAGACCGCTGAGAAAAGAATTCAACAGAAAGGCAATGAGACCTGCAAAGACAGACATCCCCCGTGGACCCAAAATAATAACAGAAGGTTTTCTGAAATGTATTTGGTGTATGATGTGCTCTAGTCTGAAAGCACTGCCACCCCACAGAAAATACATGACAGTAATTAGCCTTGAAGTAAAAAACATTGCAGTGCAGTGGCAAATTAAATTTAGTTTGATTATGATTTTTTGTGGGGACCGGGTTGTCACTTTTAATCCGTGCAATGCACTGTAAATGTACCCATGTCCACACTGAGCCCAAGCTCCCTGCAGGAACTAGTGTTTCTTTTTTTACAATGCAAAGCGGAGGTACCCATCCATAATGAACAATTTAAGTTTACTTACTGTAGGTAAGAATGCTACACAAGTCAAGACTATGTATAATCAAATGGCAGATATTTTTATATATTTTTCTTGAAATAGTCCAAATTTGCCCCTTTATGGAAACAACTGAACTCTTAACAAGAGATAAGCCTCAGTGGATTAGAATAAGTGGGAGGTTGGTAAAATATTGCAGCATTACTGTTTTAATGAATTTGCATGAAATGAAAGAGTTCCACCCGCATGCTTGTAGATTGTTCTTTAGAAGGGAAAAAAGAGCAAAGTACAGAATAAATCTTGAGAAAAAGAAGTGGCATTCAGGGTTAATGTGAGTAATTGCAGTATTTTCTTTCTATTATTGCTGTATTGTGGTAAGCCAGCAATTATGGGGTCCATTGTTTGGCCATACATGGAGTCATTTGACTGCACAAGCACAAATTTATTGGCACTTTTGAAGCAGTGCCAAAGGGTACCTAAGTCATTTACATATTTCCTCCATTGCACAGCTCTCCTATTCAGACTAGCAGGTGCTCACCTGAAGACAGCAATCAAAGGGGCGTAAATGGAGTCTCCATCATAGACGTACATGTGGTCCCAGCTGCACTCTGTGGCAAAGTGATTGAAGCGAAGCCTGAGTACAGCGTTGGGGCTGGGAGACGGGGAGAGAGGGAATGCAGAATAAACAGGTGTGACAAAAATACTCTTGATAAATATATATACTACCTATAAGCTTCATATGATTCTTACTTTATAGAAGTGTCTCCACTATTCATAAAATCTGTGGTTGAGATCATAAATCGACAGTTCAGGGACTCACACTCACTGCAGAAAACCTTTTTGCTATATTAAAATCCTTGTGAGATGTGTCCTTGCCTAATGCCAGCACTGTAGAAGATGCATTTCGTGCAGTGTCTGTTCACATGCAGACTATTAGTATCAAGTATCCTAGTTTTGTAAAGGTCCAATCCTGAAATAAACTTTTATTTCAGCTTTAGATAAACCTGCATATGATAATCAACCAATTTTACACATGAAGGCAAACACCAGGGAACTAATCATTGTCTCCCATATGTGGACATGCATACCTAATTGGTTAAAAAAGAAAAAAGAAAAGTCCTAATGATAATTGATGTGATAAGGGCCTAGACGTTAAAATGAAGGAAAATCTGCACTGTACAATCATTGCAAATTTAAATACACCAGGGTGTGATGGAGGAGATTTTTTCTTTTCTTAGCTCATACCTGATTTATTTATTCCACTTTGACAAATGAATATGCTCTGGAGATTTTATAGCAATCTGTCATTAAAAATTTTTTTTTTTTTAAAAATGAAGCTATCACCTAAAATCATCCTTCATATTAGCTGAGTAGCACGTTTTAAAGCATGTGTAAAAATGATTGGCAGTAACCATTTAGCATCATTTTTCATTGTGCAGCTTGTTCTAATGAATGCCTCAATGTCTGAAATGGGCACAACAACACAGTGGGCAAAAGTTGTCACAGTAATGTGACGTGTTGTAAATGGAGACATATCAGTGAAGTTTATGTTAAAGTATAACAAGAAAGGAGAAGCTTTGGTGCTTTGGTCCTATCAGAGAGTGTGCAGAGCTTTGTAGACTGTCCTCTACATGTAGATGTTAGCTGGGAGCTGATTAAAATAATATATGTGGAACAACTGGCTTGTGTTGTTGTTGGTCCTTCAGCCACCAAGCCCGAATTTATAAAATACAAAGAGCTGATAACCAGCAGAGAGTTAAAATTTGACACTTCCTTTTCTATTCAGTAACCAAAAACCTACACAAAATGACACAAACGCACTACTGTGAATCCCATTAAGTGTCGAGTTGGGAGTTGAAATGTGTTGGCAAGGTGACCTTCTTGTTGTGCAACAAAATGCCTGAAAATCACATTTTCAGTCACAGTCCATGGATATCTGCTCCAAATCTCTTGGCACCCTATCCAGTAGTTAAAGCCTTCTGAGGGGAATGTGTGATACGATATACAAATAAAATTAGCTTGAACTCACTTTTGAGTAACTTTCTCTCATCTTTCTTAGAGAAAATGCAGCTAGTACAGTAAAATAAATAATAGCATATATAATAGTAGTAATATATTACGGAGCCTGAGCTGCCCTTCAGCATTTCCCAAGGAGATCGTGGACATCTTCATTGCTTTGCCCAGAGCTCATCTAACATTTCAGAGCATACAGAGACCATTAAATGTATAACCTTACACACCGTGTTAGAAAATAATGATTGCCATTCTGTGACTTTTACATGGTGGTCTACCACTGTATACTACATGTAGTGCAAGCAAGCATTGTATTTCCATAGCAAGAGAAAAAAATTGCAAATGAAGCACTTTCAGTCGGTGCAGCATGAGCAGTAAATATGCAAAAAGCAACTACGAAGCACAGTAACTACTATATTCACAGACAAACTCCTTCTTTTTACAGAATAATACAGTCTCTCTTATCTAGAGCCCTTAAGTTAGATACAGAATAAAGTCTTTATCCAAGTGGAAGTAAGTAAGATTAATGATGACATGTGGAAGATAAAAACAGTGGTACTTACAATCCTTCTATTAACCAAGTGCACTTGGTCTTGTACTTATAGTTGAATGGACCATCTGTGAGAGAGCCTGACAGGTCTGTTAACCTGCAGAAAGAGACACAGAGGGGAGAAAACATGAACACAGCGACGCAGTTTAATATGCTCAGAATCAGAAACAACTGGGGGAGTCTGTGACAAAACAGACAAAAATTAGAGTTGAAATCTTATTTTGTGACCCCTACAAGACAAAGATACTCATTCTTACATCAGTGAGGGTCCCCATCAGTGCAATCATGTGACATCAAAGAGTTGTATTTGGGCTTAATGTTTGATTTACTACCACCAGATCAAGCGTGGCAGGGCATGAGCTTTTTTCCCCTCCTTATTTCAGGTTATTCCTTGGTAAGAAAATACAAATAAACATTTGTTTTAAACAAACACACTAATCATCTAAAAAGAAGAAGAAGAAGAAGAAACCATTCTTCTTAGCAAAGAATTTAATATTATATCATTTGAATTGAAAATAATAGCTTGAATTATTTAAAATCAACATCCATTTGATGACTGCACAGTAAAACTTTGGCAATATGAAATAGTGAGCACTTTATAACAACTGGTGCTCAGCCTAACTGTTCTAAAATGGCCCATTTAATTGTTTTTTTATCCCCCAGATTAAGAACATCATATGCCCTAAAGACTGCTATAACAGTAGGACCGAGCAGAGACCTTACATGGAAATTATGGACGAGCAGAAGAACATCCACACTAACCAAGAAGGATCCTGTAGCTCAGTGCCCTAACATCAGTGAGAGGAAGCTGCTATTAAAGTGAGAGATTGAGAGCCTGCAATACAATGGGACCAGTACTGAGCTGCATGGATATAATGAGCTGACATTGGCAGAAGAGAGCAGTGTTAAAGAAGGAAAACCGCCTGCCATGATGGATGCATCCACTGAGCTGAGGATGAAGACACAAAGCCACACAAACTGGGACGCAACTGTGCCGGCTCTCTGACAAAATCCTATCAGGAGAGATGCTTGCAAACATCAACACAGCTCAACTCATTATCCCCACAACCAACATGTACACAGAAGAAGGTGGAATCCAGGAAGGAAGTTAGTTGGTAACATCGCCTATTCTTGCTGCCTTTTACTCTTCAGCACTTACATTATCTCACACTGTCAAATTCACCTCGTTCAAAATGTCAATGTTCCTGTCCAACAAACTGTGTCTACACAGCCAGTCGGCCTCTTATCACCAGTCTTTTAATTCACTGTGATCTTCCACTCTCCCTTGAAGGGGTCTGGCATGGCGAAGTGATCCTCCTCCTCCCCATTTCTACTGTACATCATGTGTTTTGTTCAGGCACCTCATCCAAAGTCTTCATGAGCCATGATTTCATCACCACCACCAGTGAGCAGTGTTGGGGGTGGGTGGTGCCTGGGTGAGGGTATCATTCCAGTTGAGTTTTTACCATTTTAAAATGTTCAGTTTCAGTTTTTAGTTTTGATTGTTCATTTTAGTATTTTTAACTGTTACTATATGGAGGTTCTGCACAGGTATTAGAATAAGAACACAGCACCTTTTCAGTGCAGATAACTCAATAAACAGATGCACCAAAGACTAAAACTAAAGCCTGTAAATTTTATATTCCAACATATTTTATGTTATTTCAGTAAATTTTATAAGTGTACAACATTATTTCAGTGTATCATCTTTTTTTTTCCCTCTCAAGTTTTTAGTTTGGTTGAACTCTGTCCAGTCACCATCTTTTACTTTCAGCTAGGATTCTTCTCAGTCTACCTACCAAAGAATACTTAATATTTTGCACACTTATTTCTTTATTATAAAATTTTCTCCATATTTTCAGCACCACCCACCCCATCAAAAATGTAATTTCCCTTGGTGTGTATTGTAACTCATCCTCTTCGTGCCAGCTTTTATGAATGGAGCTGGTTTTATTGTGAAGACACCATCAGGTTTCACAATAGCAGACACCACGGCTGTATTCATTATTTAATCCTGGATTACATTACATTACATTGTGTCTTGTAAAACTAAGATTTGTCATCTCCCCTTTTGTCCTTCCTGGTGCTATAGTGGAACCAAAGACTGCCCAACACAGCTCTGCTTTGCAGTCATGTTAATAATTATTATTTTCCCAGGCAGCAGGCCTAACAAGCATCTCAGATTGATTCAGACTGACTGATAGATTGGCAGAATAACAGTATGAGGTGACGAAACATGGCATCCCTCTGAAATTAAGGTGAGACAATCCCTGATGCTGTTGCTATAGCGATCCCAACATGACAAATTCGTGTGACATCTGTAAAAACCAAGATGGTGGTAACCAGCGATTGCACTTGTCAATCAAAGTAATCCCATGCTCAAGGGGAAAATCTGAAAACACACACACGCACACTGTCACACACAACATATCGGCGCCACATACAGTGACGATGTCGCCGGCTGCCGCCAGTTGAACACTATGTTACTGTGTGACCGTGTGTGCTCATTATCTAAGCCCTCACTATAGGATCTGTGCTCACTGTGGCACACTGCCAGACTAGAAAAAGAAGGAGAAAAATAGAGTGAAACTCTCATTTTTCTGATTTTTCTGAGTGAAAGACTCATTTTTCTTGTGTCTTTGGGGGGGAAGCATAAAACAAGATAACAGAGACCGACATAGTAGATAAAACTTCATCCACAAAATCACAACATGAGGCAAGCTGAGAGCTAGTTCTGAAGCACACATCGAAAATGGAATAACCCACTGAAAAATCTGTTTTAAAAAGTATGGTATAAATGAAGATAATTCACTGGTGTAGCGTCGGTCTATGTGATTATCCTAACTCATGTTTATGAACTGTGTCCAATGATACACCAATTAAAGACAATTAGTTCTACAATCAATGTAAAATGCTTTCCTCTGACCTTATAATCTAAGGTCAGGTGAAACAGAACTCAAATAAATCAATCAAGCCAAATAACCTTTATTGTCCCCAAGAGGAAATTTGTCTTGAACATAGTGCTGCTTGATACGAAATAGAGAAAAAGACATTCATTAATGAAAGGCATATAGTATTGTATTACTGCTAATAAAATGTCAAATAGTGATTGAAAGCATAAATGGAAGGGAAAAAAACCTCTAGCATCATATATAGCACAGGAATGAAAAACATTACCACCATAACTTTGCATAGAAGCATCCATCGAATCAATAAAGGTAAAGCATATTTATATTTGCCATGATGCTTCTCACGCCCAGCAAAACACTTACTGCTGCAATTGTAAAACAGCATTTCATAAGTCATAAACCATCATAAGTTACATTTAGAAGAAACTGCCCTGTCCCTAGCATCCTGCAGAGTGCATACACTCAGTCTTTGAGGCAACAAGTGTTTGTGCGAGTGCAACATTTCACTACATTTCACTCCCAGCTCAGAACCTCAGCCAGATATGCTGTTTCTGGTAAACAAAGGAACCTAAGGAAGTGCTAACAGATTGCTGCACAGCGGGATGCGAGCTGCAGTAAATGCATACATCCTGCCAGTAAAACAGAAGCACACACATACACTCACACTCACAGACACAATATATGTAAAGGAGGAACAAGACAGGATGCAGAAGGTCTGTCTGTTTTGTTTCCTTTCCATCTCTTCTTCCCTTCACTTCTGCCCATTTACTCCTCCATCTATCCCTCTTCTATCAGTCCCCGCTGATCACAGTTAGATCCCCC